CTATTCCTAATGCAGTCGAGTTCCATGCAGCATTTTTAATTGGTTTCGAAATTAAGACAAGAGAAACAGAGGCACAACTAGAGTTTACAGCGTCAGAGGACAATCATTGTTTTTATACTCCCTTGTAAAATGATGTCACTCACGACCATTTAAGGTTTTGTAATATATAAAAACTTAAAACCAATGTAATTGCCATTGAATTACTGAATTGTTGAATTACATTGAATAAGATTTGGAAAGTTTAAATAACTTTTTTTTTAAAATAGCGTGATTCGATATCTTCATTAGTTTCCATTTCATTTGGTTTAAAATTTAACGGTGTATTTTACTAATATGTAGAGTGATACGCAAGGTATGCACAGAAATCAGGTTCTTAAGAAGAAGAAAAATACCCAGTCCACGTAAGTTTTTTCTGGTTTATTACGAAAGAACCCAATTTTGCCGAGAAAAAACGGTTTTGATTCGGTTTTTACATAAAAAAAACCCGATTTCACCTGAATATAACTGAGTTTTTTTTTTTTAATAATATTCTACATGCATACTTAACATAAGATATATTATATGATGAAAGAATATTGTTTGATTGTTTCAAATAGAATTAATAAAAAACATGCTTATAAGAATAACTATTTCAGTTTTTTTTTTGTTTTCTGAATGTTCTTTATATATTTTGAAAGCAAATGTTCTTTATTCTCTTAAATGTTCTTTTCTTTCTAAAAATTCTTCATACATTATTATGCAGTTTATATACATATAAATAACATAATGATGAAGTAACTGTAATGATTCTTTTTAAAATATAAAGCATAATAAGTACCGTGATTTGTTTAAAATCATAAATAAACACATAATACATAATTTGCTTTAAAGCTGATAAATGGAATTTATAAAAGCATTGTTAACATTCAGGAAACGAACTGAACTTTTCTTTTTGATAGACATAATATGTTCCTTCGTATTTTTCAATGTATGAATTCTTTATGCTTTACAATGTGCAAATAATTATCAACTTATATCTTTGTTTTACATTTTGCTTTTGAAATGAATGAAAAAAAAGATTAAATACAATTAAACATTTGTTTCTCTAAGCATTCCAAGTATATAATTTAAGATTTTAATGCACACGCAGAAATGCGCATTAAATTTAATTAATAATTATGCATGAATGAACATATCCTGAACAACTAATATAAAAAAAAAATACATTCACACTTCACTCACTATAAAATATAACCTTTCTTTTGCAATTAAGAATATTTTTATCAAATAAAATATTAGTAAATAAAACTAAGATTCATAAATATTAAATTCATTAAAATTGAATTNCTTAAGGCGGTCCTAAAGTGGATTCTAGCCTCAAACTTGAAAACTAGATGGCGCTGAAAATCACACCCCGCCTCAGGCTAAGATCTAGTTTAGCCTTTCCCAAAAAGATTCTAACTCATAGTTGATTGGCTACCTCAAAAAGAGCTATTCTACCTTTTAACAGTTTCTAGATGAAAATAAATCAATGTATCGCATTGATGTAAATATGTAAAGAACGACTTCTAGTATCGTAAAACAAATAATCTTAGATTAATAAATGAAATGAATTTAACTGGAGAATTTAATTTACACTTTAGTTTAAAATGATTTTTAATAAAATATGAGCTGAAACACCATAAATTATTAGTAATTATTTATTCATGTTTGCATGAACCAGTTTGTTATTCTAAAACATTATCCTAAAACAACAATTTTTTATGCTTTATTCGACAACAAATATTCAGTTTGAAAAATGCGAGGAAGTTATCTAATATTTGTAATTGTATGTGCTTAAGAAATTAAATACATCGGAAATATGTTTCTTTCCTTTGAAATAACTTCAATGTTTTTCATAAGTGAACATTCACACTTGAATATATGTTTAAATTGATTGCTGACATTGTCTGGGCATGAATATATGGTCAAATTGATATCTCTTATTCATAATGACTAGTATAAATACATAACTCTTGTTTATGCTCAGCTGCAGCCACAGGGATCTTTTAACTTTAGAACAAACGTTTCTATTCTATAAAGTAATTGTTAAAAATAATTGCGGAATTTCTACAAACTACTGTNGAAATATTTTAGTAGCGTATAAATATTAGTAAAACTAACTAGCAGATAATTTTATTTTGAGACATTTGCCAGAAATTTCAACAGAGTATGTAGATTAAATTATTCTTATGTCTCTAAGTTTTAACATAAGAAATACGATGTTTTAACACCTTTGCATCTAGATTTCCAACGATTTTTCTTTGGTTCAACTTTCAAGTTTATTTCGAATTTAAATGTGAAGAAACAACATAAATGAAAGCTACGTGATATCAATGTAAACATTAAAATTGCTGATGCTAGTCGCTAAATCCTGAATAACTCTCTTTCAAGCGCGTTCGTAAACAACTGAAAAAACAAAATATTCTGATTTTCGATGCTGGAAAAATTATTAATTAGTGACTTTTCTCCCGAACAGTTAAACAAATTAAATACTGAATAAAATGTTTTAAAACTGCTATTGGAATAAAGCTAACAATCTGTATTAATACCTAAAACAAAAAGAATTTGCAATTAATGAGAATATAAATAAGTATTTTATGCTTTTTTTCGCAAATTGTCCTCACTAGCGGTAAATTCACATTTCTCGTAGCCTTGTAGCGCCATCTAATTTCCAGAACCAGAACTACAAAATCAAATGTAACAAAACTTTTAAATGCTTTTAAAAATAATTCACAACCTAATTTTCCAAAAATAAACATTTGAGGTTCTGGCTAACAAGATTCTTAAATGTCGTGAAAAATTTCGAGACCCTTAGTACGCTATTTAATCTGTGTAACTGTTCGGCGGTTTTTAACATTACAGGTATACGGCTTTAGGACCACCTTAAAATGTAAAATACAAATTTAATCTCAAGTATAATAACTATTTCATGAAACTAAAAATTTAACACATTAGAAGTTGCTCCTTATCTCTTATTGAAAGTATTTGAACGTAAATGTCCTCGTAAAAGGCTCTCAAATGTCAAATTTAAAGTCTCTAAAATGTCCTTTCTTGCACCTCGTTAAATACGGCACGGAGATCACTGTCAGATACTAATGCGCCTCTCTCATGTGTTACTATAGTTTTCATTTGATAGCTAGCGCCATCTATAGCCAGTTCCAATTATGAGTCAGAATTTATAATAAATGACATGGCAACAGAAATATCAGCAACAGTAATATCAAATTTCAAATTAATCACGCCGATTTTGTTATCGCTTTAAATATTTTCACTGTCATTTTAAGTTTCGAATTCTTTCGGAGATTAAAGTTTTTGATATATATTTAGTGATAGTTCTTTATATAGATATGATAAAGATAATTAAATTATATGTTTGTAAGCAAAAACTGAAATACAATAACATAAATGAAAAGTATTGTGCCTTCTTTTGCGACTTTACAGATTATTGTGGTGGCTAATTGTTTGCGTTGAGATATCTTCATTTCAACTGGTAAAAAATTTTGCATTTTAATTCTATCACAATAATTCCTTAATTGAACTTTATTCTCAGAAATAAATACATATTACCTTTTAGAAGAAAAGATGTATTTGATGAAGTATCAAATTGTTTATTAACATCAACATTCAATTTTTTTTAAATCTACCTATCATTCCACATCTTTTTGAATAATAAATATAATGCTTAGTTTTGATTTTGATCTCTTTTATTTTACTTATTCTTTACTAATGAAGGCTTACTTATTTATTATAACGTTCTTATTCTTTACTAATGAAGGTTTACTTATTTATTATAACGTTATGTTAGGTGTAATTTATAGAAACATCTTAAAATAGAAATGTAATTTGCGTATGCGAATTGTTTACATATTTTAAGTGCAAAAAATATATATATGTTTATCTAAAAAGAAAACTCTTTTGTATAAATAGCATATTTTTTCAAATTTTTTTTTGTCACATTATGTTAGTTTGATTTTAATAAAAATCGCATTGAATTTTCTCTACTCTTTAAAAATATAAGTGCACAAAATCAGTTTACTGAGTCCTTATCTAACTTTTGTAGAAAAATAAGTGAATGAATATGTTGAAATCAGTTCATTATCTAGCCATATATAGTGTAAGTTATATTCAAACCTATTTGTTGTCATGGTGTGTCAGACAATGTTAAGTGAGAGTAAATTATGAGCTTGATGAAAGAACTATGTTAACATAGTTTTACTGGGTATAAAATAAAATTTTTAAACAGACAACTAGTCAATTTTTCATTATGTGACGAAGCTAAGTTAACTGTTGACCAAGCTTAGAGCCAAAACTTTGGAATATTTCTATATTGTGATCTGTTACGCCAACTACAATCGGGAGGGACCCAAATAGATTTTGAACTTTCAAATTTTTAAAATACAACAAAAAAGCATGTAGATGTTGGCCAGGGAGTGGTTTAGAGAAATGCATTTCAAGTTGATTCTTTTCTGTGGTGTTCTTTTTTTTTTTTTTTTTTTTTTTTTNTTTTTTTTTTTTTTTTTTTTTAGTATCTCGGTTACCAAGTTTTAGTATCGGAAGTTACCAAGAATTAGCCATTATTCTGCCAGAGATTTACGATAATCTATCCCAAAACTTAAATATTTTCATATATATATACTCTGCATGTAAACAAATATTGAAGCAGGCAATGAAGTTTGCTTTTTCTCAAACATACATAAAGCAAAGCTCGTGATTGAGTCTCATTTCTGATTTTGGAAAACCTCTCTATATAAGACAAATATCTATATTAAAGGTGAAACAGTAAAAAAGCCTTCACCCTATTTTAGTTTTGCATTAGAAACTTTTGAGGTGTAAATTCAGTATAGTTGATTTTGTTAAAACCATATTTGTAGCCAGAAACTTAGCCTTTCTGGAATTAAAAATAGGTATTTTATATTTAAAATGCAAAAAGAAAAAATATACTCTAACTTTATGTTAATTAAATTTTTTTTTTTTTTTAGATTTTGTGATCATCAGTGATTGCAAACAAGAACGATGGCAGTAACTTTGAAACTATTCTCGTTGTCTTGTTTGTTTTTATCCGTTGTTACTTTGTGTGTGGCTTTCCCATCGCAGAATTCAAAGTTAAATTTGTCTTCAATTTCTGAAGCTGAGAATGAGATATTTTATCAAGTAAACAATCATAGAGAAAATGAAAATCCTAACTTATCATTTTCATGGTGGAATCTAGGAGGCATCAAAGAGGTAAGTTATATTTTTGAAACAAATTTATCATATTAAAAATAGTTATTTTTTTTTTTTATTATTTATTTTTGTAAATTTAATTAAAACAGGGCTTGTAGCGTTTTAAAAAGTGCTCAAAGGTGCTTATTTTCGCTTTTAAAACTCCTTAAAGGTACTTTTTTCATTGGGTATTTTTAAAAAGTGCTTAATTTTCCCTTTTCCAAAATTAGTATCAATATTTTCATGATCATGTTTATATTAGTAATCAATATTTTTTTACCATGTCAATTTTCGTCCCGTATTACGCAAAAGCATGATTTTCTCATTGCTCTATTCAACGTTTTCACAATTTATCTAACCATAATATATTTAGGTGTACTCGTGGTCCATAGTGTATGAAAGCGCCAATCATTTTACATGTTAGATGAAATACTTGCGAGTGTGCTTGTGCATCTATTGAGCTGAGTTCGGTGAGATTCTTGTACTCTCAGGTGCAACTCTGCTGCATTTTGTAAGATATTCACGATTTCAGGCTTCATTTTGCACCCTCTGATATAGAACCGAAAACTCTCTTGATTATTTAATGGCTAATATAATCAAGAAAAAGAGTTCTTCGTCAGAAACTGTTTATTTTTTATCATGATCATGTAAAGTCTTTGAAAATTATGTTGCATTTTGTTAATGTATATACAGTGTTTTCGTTACAGAAAAAAAGTGGGTGAGAATTTCTCACCCTTTCTCAAAAACTGGGTGAGATTTCAAAAAGTTAGGTGAGATTTCTAAAAATGAAAAAAACACGAATAGACTTGGAAAAGAAATATTTCATTTTTAACATCTTCTAATTTTTAAAGCATTGAATATTTTTGCTGCATTATCACATGGAAAATGTTCTATATCTACTTTTTCATCAGCTATTCTCATTAGGTTGCTCAAATGCTTATCAGTCAATCTGTTAGTATATTTTGTCTTAATTCGGTTTTGGGTGCAACACATGCTGAACTATTTGGAACCACTAAGTAAATTTGTAGCATTGTGCACACACTTTCCTATCCTCTTCATCTGCCAGCATAGGTTTTTCAATTATTTCTGCTATAGAATAGTGAAGTTATTTTCATGTTCTTACTTCATGCTAGTATTTGATCCGTATCCATTGAATATCCGTATTTGTTTCGTTTTGACCGTTCCTACCCACATTTGTTTCATTTTCATTTGTCCGTTACGGACTAGAAAATGTTGCCTTAACAAGGTATTTGTCCATCTTACATTCAAGCTCAAAAAATTTAAACGTCTTACATGAAGAAACCTTACCTACGGTTAACACGTGGTTGAAGAGAAATGTGTTCTGAAAGGGTTTCGGGGGTGCATTGTGTTCAGCTGTTCGCACTGGTTCTGAACAATACTGATAAATAGGAAAGCTTGATAACAAGGACCGATGTTGAAAATAAGGAAAGATCAAGGAAGAAAAGTGAAACGGATTTCATTTAAAATAGCGGAAGACAAAATTTTTTCCAAAATTCGCGAGATTCATTCATTTTGAAATTCATTAATAGAGTGCGAGAACTTCTCGCGTTAATCATTTTTTAACGAGAAAAGAAAAAAATATGCGAGATTCTCGCGCTGTAGTGAAAACACTGTATATAGTGCTTAAAAGTATTTTTGAGTGCTTAGAAGATGCTTATTTTTGTTGAAAGATTTAGCAATGCACCCGTTAAAAAAGACCTTGTGTCCCATTCAGCTTTAATTTGCACATGAGCGTTAAGTGCTACTACTTAATTACTACCATAAATAAATTAGATTTAAAAAAAAGAAACTTTTTAAATAAAAATTTATACTTTCAGACTTTTATAACTTTTCAGACTTTAACAAAACTTTTTTTTAACTTAAACTTCATAATTCATTAATTTTTTAAATTTCATATTGAAAATTTGTTCCACTTTCGTCTTCTACCTACTTTGAAAATACTGGTAATAATAAAACAAAGCTTTACTTAACAGTTGTGGTTTATTGTCATAAGCTTATGTCACTTATGAAAACATTATTTGCGATGGATATTGTTTTTATAACTTACTGACAGAACCTTAACTGAAAAATTTTAATTTAATACAGAGCAATTAGATGATGTATTTTATGCTTTGTGTAATTTTTATCATGTTAATTTTAAATATTTATCGTAACTTTTAAATGTTTATTAAAACTTTTTAGCTTTTAAATACTAAGAGCAAACTATTTTTAATATTGACTTTTTTTATAATAGTAATAATACTGGGAAAATTTAATAAATGTTGATGGCATTTTTAAATGGGCATAAATAAACAGCACTTGGTTATGTCTTCGTTGAATAATCAATTTGGCCTATTCCTCCTTATGTTTATATCTTGTTAATCTTTATTTTGTAATAACACTTATAGCAAAAATAATAACCAATACATGAAGCTAAATAGATTAGTCCAATATAACAGGTGCATGATAGAATGATTGCTATCTTTCATGTCAGATTCATCTCGGTAGAAATTAAGAAATTTTTTTCTATTTTATTACAATTATTTTTTTTAAAGTTAATAAAGTGAATTTAAATGAAAATTACAGAGTAGTAAATATTTAGCAATCATAATTATGTTGAAATATGCTATTTGATGAGAAAAAAACCAAACACAAAACCAAAAAAAAAAGTATCCCTTTATGTTGGTTGCTGGTACAATTCAGGTTTTAGTCCCAGATCAACAAATCACAATTGCTTTTGAATCTAGCTTAGTATATTCTTTTAAGATATTGCTTATTCATTATCATAACCTTAGTTTGGTTTCGTGCTCAAGGGGTATGATTTCTCTTTATGTGTACTTTTGAGAGTTAAATTTTTTTACTTCATGTTCAGTGTTTTCAATAAAACTTCTGTGGTTTCTCGTTAAATTAGTATTCAGCATGGTTGCTAGGAAATGTTAATTAGTGTTACATGCTTGGCTCTTTCTGTAAAATGTGCATTTTCTATATGAAATATCTAAAAGAATAAGTATTGAAAAATACAATTCTCTTGACTGTTTAAAACTTCCGAGAAATGTAGTCTTGAGTATAAAAAGTTATTCTTGGCACTTTTTTATGTAGAAACAGCATTTTTTTTTCAATTTATATTTATATCGTTTCGATAATATAATTTAAGATATATTTTCGTGCAGTTCTCCTTGGATGCTTTAAATCAATTTGTGTTTGTTTTTTAGTCATTCAACAATCTATGGAACAGAATGGGGTCCACTAGTGAATGCTTGGCATGTAGATTTGTTGTGGCCCTTTTCCAACATTACGTTGAAAATGGTGCATCCGAGGAAGAGATTGGCAATATTGTGAAGAAAGTATGCCTGTTCCTGAATATTGAAAAACCAGATGTTTGTCATGGTGTCGTGAGGCTGTTCAAGGTAATATAAAAATATTTTGTTATAAAAATATTTGTATGCACACTTCTTTCTCAAATACCAAAAGAATTTTTTTAATTTTTAGAGTTATAAGTCCTCATTTGTGTCATGTATGTGCGGACGCATCTTAATATACTTGTTTGTTCAAATCATAGTAATAAATTATCTATTGTATTTTGCAAGTTGATATTAGATGCCGTTTGAATAGAAAATTATTAAAAATAAGCCAACTTAAAATTCATTGATTCATTTTGAAAAAATCTTCGTAAGTTTAAAGATAAAATGCAGAAAAGACTAAGTAATCAACTTCTAAAGTTGTATTTATTAAGTAAAAATAAATAATGATAATAATAAAATTAAGTAATATGTCTAAAATTAAGCAAACACATTTTCTCTTGATTTTGCAAAAAACAACATTTGAGTGGAATTTAAAAAGGGCTACCTTTTCAACAGGAATTGTAAATGCATAAAATACTGAAAAGGATTTTATAAATAAATATATTTTACTAAAAATTGACTGTCAATACTAATTAGGGATAACATAAATTGTAATTTAAATGAAATTTTTTTTTTATTTAAATAATTTTTTTTAAATATATCATTGATTTAATTAAAAAATGTATTTTAACAATATAATTTGTTTGTATATTCTTATGGTTGATATTTTTTTCCTTCAAAAACTCTGCTTTATTGAAACTTTCTAAGTCTGATTTGATTTTTTTTTCTCGTGAAATAATGAAAAGGATAATCTGTGTTATTTGTTCATATAAAAGAGACTACATGTTAATAAGAATGATGCAAAACATTTGAATTATAAGTTATTAGTTGTAGGTAAGACAATTTGCTAAGACAAACTGGACATTTAAATTACTCAATTTTGTTTTATGTTATCACTTTAATTATTGTTTTTGATATATTTTATCAGAACTGTCATAAATATAATCATGAAATTTTCGACCAAAGAACCCAGACTGCTTTGGCTAGATTTGCAAGTGGCCATTTTAAGTGTGTTACTCTGTGGAGGGAGGCAGAAAGATCTTGCAAAAAATGCTGTGTTCAACCAGCTTCGCCAGAACATATTCTGGTTTGTCTTGGACTNTTTACCAAAAATTGACCGTCAATACTAATTAGGGATAACATAAATTGTAATTTAAATGAAATTTTTTTTAAATTTAAATAAATTTTTTTAAATCTATCATTGATTTAATTAAAAAATGTATTTTAACAATATAATTTGTATATTCTTATGGTTGATATTTTTTTTCTTCAAAAACTCTGCTTTATTGAAACTTTCTAAGTCTGATTTGATTTTTTTTTCTCGTGAAATAATGAAAAGGATAATCTGTGTTATTTGTTCATATAAAAGAGACTACATGTTAATAAGAATGATGCAAAACATTTGAATTATAAGTTATTAGTTGTAGGTAAGACAATTTGCTAAGACAAACTGGACATTTAAATTACTCAATTTTGTTTTATGTTATCACTTTAATTATTGTTTTTGATATATTTTATCAGAACTGTCATAAATATAATCATGAAATTTTCGACCAAAGAACCCAGACTGCTTTGGCTAGATTTGCAAGTGGCCATTTTAAGTGTGTTACTCTGTGGAGGGAGGCAGAAAGATCTTGCAAAAAATGCTGTGTTCAACCAGCTTCGCCAGAACATATTCTGGTTTGTCTTGGACTTTCTAAGGTGGATCTTACATCAAATCCCTATTTTGCAGATTTTCTTGCTGTCAGCAGCATCATGGAGTTTATCTAACATATATCAGATTAAGAGGATAAGCAACAACAACAGAACTTTAGTTGGCAAATAAATGGGGGGAAAAAGATTTTTAAATAAAAATAATGATTTTTGCCTAACCTGATCCTGGCAGGAAATTTTGATTATCTTTTATTCTTTGTGAGTAACTCTTGGTTTATAGGGGAAATTCCGAAACAGAAAGTCGATATAAGAAGAAAGGAAAGCCATCAGGCTGTTTTTCCTTTTCTAGTGTTTTAATCTTGACAATATTCTGTGATTTTTCATTACCTATCATACAACGTTTGTGCCTGCATATCATACTTAATGTTACATGAAGAACATAATCATGCTAATCTCTTCAAATTTAAACTTTACAGTAGTGTTTTTAATTTATTTTTTATTTTTTTTGAAGAAAGACTTTTTTTTTAACTGCTTACTTTATAAATCAATTCTCTATGTTAACTAACTCTTGTAGGTATAAGTAAATAATTCTTCGCTTTGTTTCTTTAATATACCATCAAACAAACATCTCACACAAAACTAAAATTATCAAAATTCGTTGGGTTTGTTAAATGTAAATTTTTCAACCTTCTAAAATGTCTTAACTAATAATTGGATTTTACAATTTACAGAAAGAAGTGACGACTATAATTGCTAGAGTAGCACTGGATCCCCATGAAGTGTGCAGCCTAATTGTGGCTGGTTGTGGGGATGGCGTGAGTCCTCTTCACAATTGGACTGTTCCTCTCACACCATTCCCAAAACCTCCAGTTATTCAGCCGCTACCTCCAAAGGTATTGAATCTTCTCTAATTTGTGTTTAATTTTTATTTAAGAAAGCATGGAAATGTAGCAACCTCAATAGTTTCTGCCTGTTCTAAAAATGCAGGACCTCTAGGCATAGAATTGTCAGGAGGCCCCTGGTCATTACTTTAAACAAAATTTACCTGTTTAAAAATGAAGCGTTTTTAAATTGAAATGACACAAGTAAATTATGATTAGCAAATTTGAACTTACACCTATTTTATTCTTCCTGGGCCTCCCAGGCCTTAATCAGGCACTGGTTTCTGCCCCAGTGTTAAGAAAAGAACTGCGGAATAAAACTGCTCCATAAGAAATAGGTTTCTTCCAATCCAAGTTGAAGTGAAAGGAACTATTTCTCATAAAGAAATTTCAAGAATTTTAACAATTTTTTGGACAATTTAAAACTACAAGCTTGTTTAAGTAATAGTATTAATTTCCCAACTATTATAATATTTAAACAAAAAATCAGTATGTGAAGGCTAAAAAGTAGCAATTGGATAAAAAAAATTAATTTAATGGATTTTTTAAGTTTTAAAAATAATTTTAATTCTTTATTCTTCATGAATGAGTGTAGCGAAACCTTATTTTTTTAATTATATAATTGTTAAAATATCCATATCAAATTTTATTAATGTCACTTAATTTAAAAAGAAAAATTATATACTAAACATCAGAGTTTGTTGATTTAAATCAGCTTGATTTAAATCACGATTGAAATCAAAAGATTTTTTTTAAAAAATCATTGATTTAAATCAACTGATTTTTTTTTACATATCTTGATTTTAAAAGTTAAAAAACAGTGTTCCAATTATTGATACTTTTATTATTTTCTTTTCTTAGTTTTAAAATTTATTTTAAATAAATTGCTATAATTAATTTTTGTTAACGTAATTACTTTCTTTCTTGATGTGTGTTAAATTCCAACACATTTGAAATTACATTTTTAAAAATCTATTGATTCTTGAGATTGAAAGTACTGATAAAAGTAAACATTTAATGCTGTCTTAATATAGACTTGCATAGCTGTAGAACGTAATTAATAAACATGAATTTTTTCCAAGCAAATAATGTTAATTAAAATTCGACTTTTTGATTGAAAAAGCATGGAATTAAAATCTACATTATATTTTATTGATGTAGGATTAGAAATGAATATTTTAATATAAAAATATATAGATTAAATATTTATTTATTTTTTGATGAATGACTACATTTATAAACACAATCTGTTACATTTATTTTGTCATTTTAAAAATCAAGAGGGAAAAAAGAAATCACAATTTTTTAATTAAAATTATGATTTGCTAATTGAAACTTTGTTTTAGTAGTTAAAGTACAGGGGTCTGTCCAAGCAAAACTTACTAGCGTTCAGCGGTACCTTCACAAATTCAACTTTAGGAAAAACTAGAATAATTTCACAAAATATTTTTTCTTAAAATTTTATTTTTGTGTCTCGTAAGAAAGGATAAATCTATATTTTTACAATATTTTTGTGTTGAATTTTTAATATAATTTTTTATTTTCGCAAATTATGTCTAAATTTTCACAAAATATAGAAAAACCTGACAGAAAAACCTAAGCAGACCCCTGATGTACTTTTTAAATTCTCTATTTCATCTAGTCTTTAAATTTCAATCATGCATTTATTCCAAAATGGTTGCCATGCATTCAAAGCTATGTGTTATAACGAAAAATTATTTTAGTAAGTTAGAGCTCCTAAAATATTGTTATAATATAGTTTTAATGTTAATTTAATTTTGACTAAACATTTATAAAGTATTTTTAATCATAAATTAAATTTCTTACAGTGTATTTGAATAAAAATCAAATTTTTTAAAATTTTTTTTAAAAGAATAAAAAAAAATTCACGAATCCTGCTAAGCATATTACTACAAATCACACGCTGAATTTACCATTACAAATAGCAGCTATATTTATATTATTAGATGCTGTTAAGTATGAATATGAAAATTGTTAATCTTTTTAAAAGAAGATTTGAAATTTTTTTAAACTTGTATTATAATAAATTTAAATTCAAATTAATTAATAATTTATTGCTTAAACTTAGATTGTTCTTATATTGCTATATAATTACATTGGTTATTTTTAGTTTAATCCAAATAAAAACTCGAACCTGCTGTCGACAGTTGCAAAGTTCATATCCTCAGTTTATTTATTTATTTATTTTAGCCTAAAGCACCCATTTTAAGAGTGTTGCATTTGTCTGATATTCATCTTGATCCTTTCTACAAAGAGGGCAGTAATGCTAAATGTGAAGAGCCTTTGTGCTGCAGGCCAGGATCAGGGACGCCTCTCACCCCAGAAGATGAAGCTGGATATTGGGGAGATTATAGAAATTGTGACACGCCTCTCCGTACTCTGGAAAACATGCTTAATCATATCAACAAAACTCATCAGGTATCTGTTTTTCTTTTCATTTTCAAGAATTAAAATTTTTTATTATAGTTATTTATTTTTATTTTTTGTAATGGTGGGTACTTGTGTCTATTGCCCTCAGAAATACCAGAATTGCTACTCTCTTATCGTTTCCCAGTGGGAACCTGTGGCTAAGCCACAGTAGTGGAGTAGCATCGCCCACGTCATACAACCACAAATCTGTTTATAGGACAGATTACATTCACACAATCATGCAGAAGAAAAGACACAAAACATACAGAGAGAGTAAAAGTTACATCCGTGCCTACAGTGGGATTCGAAGCCACAACCACTGGCCCCATAGTCCAATACAGTAGGCAATAGCATTTAAGTCATCATTTTGCCACATGTCTAGTGGACATCATTTAGCACCTGATAAAAACAGTCTGGTTTTTTTTTTTTTTTTTTTTTTTTTTTATTTTTTTTTTTTTNTTTTTTTTCTCTTTCCATTGACCATTCCTTCCAAGATAATTGAATATTATCTTTAAAGAGTTTTTCAGTTTTAGGAATTTTCATTTTTTTTTCAGCGGTCGACTTCACTGGCATAAGTCATATACATAAGCATAAGACTTATACATACAGTATTAGTTTTTGCTGTTGGCTGTAAAACTGTTTAATTCCTTATTTTTTTAAAATATTTATTTTAGTTGGATTATGTGATTTGGACAGGTGACATTCCTCCCCATGATATTTGGAACAATTCAAGATCTGAAGCTATCTACTTACTTCATGAGGTTTCAAACCTAGTATATAAATACCTTGGACAAGTGCCCATCTATCCAGCTCTTGGAAACCATGAAAGTTCTCCTGTAAATAGGTTAATTGACATTTCTGCAGTTTTTCATTTTTTTATTTTAAGTGCTTTATTAGGTACATTTATTTCATATAGAATAATCATTAGCACATTTTAAAGCATTTATTTCAAAAGCAAAATTATGTGTAATGTTTTTTATGTTATACTAATTGAGTGTGGGGGGAATAAAACATATTACATAACTACGAAGCAGATCTGCAACCTCTTAACTTCAGAAGGCAAGCTAATTTAGTGAAATATTACAATAAACTTTCCAGTTTAGACCTAGGCAATTTAACTGCTATTTACCTAAATAATTGGACCTGCAATCAAAGTCTAAAGAAAAACATCCTTTTAGTCATGTTAAACAACAACCGCTAATCGCTGAAAATATTGAACCTCTTTATCTTCATAGCAATCTCAGTACTTGCTTAGATCTTTCCAATGTTAGTTTCCATGAAAGGCTCCCTACCATGCTTGACTAGAAAGACTGTGTGCCTGACTTCCTCAGACAATTGTCCCTGGAAATCATCCATAAAATCCCTCCAAACGACATCAAAATATTCTCTGATGGCAGTAAAATGGATAGACAGACTGGCAGTGGGGTATTTATTGAAACACCTCTAGAGAACTACACTCTTCATCAACGAAACCCCGATTTTTGCTCCGTCTTTCGAAGCGAACTAATTGCAATCGACAGGGGACTAGACTAGTGAAGGGCACCTTGGAAATACTTGGATACTATCTGACAGCCGTAGTTCAATTCAACACCTCAAAAATTGGGCCCTCATTGGAGATAAAACCAGTTTTTCGATCTTACAAAAAGTAAAGCTCATTTCCCAGCAGCATGAGGTCCACTTTCAATGGATCCTGTCCCACGTCGATATCCACGGCAACGAGTTGGCTGACACTCTTGCAAAGAAGGGACTAGACCATAGGTTCCCAAAGTGGTCCAGGTGGACCCCCAGGGGTCCATAGGAGACCACACGGGGGTCCATGTAAACGTGAAAAGAAAACAGGGGTTCACTAGTTGTAAGTGGGGGTCCACGAAAAATTTTCTGGTTTTCACAATAAAGAACAAACATTTTGGCTTGGATTCGTTGTGGGAAATTGCGAGAAAATTTTTGATAGCGTTTCTCTCGCCATATCTTGTCGAAAGAAGTTTTAGTGCTGTTACCAACCTGTTAACAAAAAAAAGGAGCAGATTGAACATCACAGAACGGGGATCACAGATTACTTGTTACAAAACTGAAGCCAAATATTGATAATTTTCTGTCAATTCATCAACTACATCCGTCTCATTAAAAGTATGACTATTTTTTATTGTTGATTTACATTTCAGAGTTTATTGTTGATTTTTTGTCAATTGTTGATTGCTTGTAATAATAAATGTGCATTAATTTTGTATTAGCACAAGTATTATTTTAATAAATAGGACACAAGAAAGTGTGCTACTTTTTTTTCTTCTTAACACCACCAATTTAGGGTGATATTTTTTTGGAATTTTTAGAATACAGTAGAAATGTAACAGCAGGGGGTCTACCGAAAATAGTAAAACTTTGAAAGTGGTCCACGAGAAAAAAAAGTTTGGGAACCTCTGGACTAGACCATCCAGTCCCCTCCACCTCAGAGCTTACATACCTTGAACTTTTCGCAAGGCAAAAGGCCCAGAACAAACAAAAGTGGCTGCTTCCACCTACTCACTATTGGTATAAAGCAAAAAGACCAGGACTCTCTCTTCCTGGTGACAGGCAAACCAACACTTGCTTATCCTGACTGGCCAGTGGTCACCTGAAAAGTCTCACATTTTCTGCTAATCAAAAGATCTTTCCTCTTTGCTCTAAATGCCAACGAAACCAGGCATCACCTGAGCATATCTTGAAATGTTTAGGGCTGAACTGGAACGACATTCATTCCTCTCCCATTCTGGTTTCGAATTTTCTAGTTGTCAACGGATTTATTGATCTGGTCTGACCCCATCAGACCAGATGGGAAGTAGCAACAACTAATTAAGTTTAAAAAATCATGCTTTTTCACCCCTCTGCCAGTCAGTTAATGACTGTATAAATTACAATCAAAAAATAATAAGTATTAATTTGTAATTTGAGACCAAATGATGTCTTTCTAAATTAAATTATAATATATATTTTTTTTGTTTAAATGTCAAAGGAAAAAGAATTGTCTTATACAAATTCCTTCTGACAGTAAGTGATTTAAAAAATATCGAAACAGTGCATAATATGGTCTTTTACATATTTTTGATTTTATTTTACTTTGTTTAAAAAATGTTTTTTAGAATTTTTATGACTATTGAATAATAGGATAAAAAAAAAATCTATTAAATGATATTTTCTATCCTAAACTTTTGTGAAGAACAATTGGGGATCTACTTATTTAATTTATTTAGAAGACCATTTAGAATTTTTCATGAAGGAGATAAGTTGTTCTAAAAAATTTAATTGTCAATTAGTGCAATTCATTAAAATGATTTTAATTTGATTTACAATTCAACAATCTTGGATTTGTTGAAAATGTATACTACAAATTATAACTATTTTCATATTTAGTTACACTTGAGATTAGTGAAACACTTTACTTAAAAATATTAAGTATACAAAATAATCAGTTTATGAACAGTAGATTATTGATTACTTTATGAACAGAATATTAAATTAGATTATTTATGTAAAAAAAAAGATTCCATCAGAGAATTTAAAAGGATGATTTAGAACAACCGATGAGTCATATAACTTCAAGTGAAACTACTGAATTTTAAGTGTAGTTTAACGTAGTGTTTAAGTGTAGTTTTAAGTGGACTATGGAACATCTTGTTTCTAAACTTCTATGTTGCTGCATGCTCTTCAGCCAGGCTTTTTTAATTGTATTTAAATAGTAATAATCAGCATAATTGATAGTCTTTATACAAGTCTGAATTGTTATTCTTAATTGTCATGCTAAATATGCTACTGTAGTTACAAATTATTTTAAAATGATGTATGAAGGAATGTGCCTATTTTTGTTACATTTTCTTTGAAAAAAATGTCTTATTTCAGGAAATTATGCCTAGTAATAATGTCTAGTAATACTGCAAAACTAAATAAGTTTTTGCTTTTAGTTTTCCTATTCCCTCTATAACTGGAAATGACTCTATTTCTTGGCTATATGACGAGGTTCAGAAAGCATGGTCTCGGTGGTTGCCCAATAATCCATCTTCTGTGAAATTGTAAGTAAGTTGACAGTTTTGGATTTTTAGAACATTATCACTTTTTTCTTTATGCAATTTTTTATGCTCTTAACTCTTTGAACCATGAAAGTTGGCTCATGAAAAAAGTAGTCTTACAAGTAAATTAAATTGATAAGACTTTTGGTTCTTGACATAACTAAAACTTACTTTTGAGTCAAATTTCTGGTTTTTGTGTTTAAGAAAACCTTTAGGAGAGGCATTTGAACTTCCGCCAGTACCTCTGCTCCAAATGCAGAATAATTCAAATAAGGTAACACGAAAAAATATATAAGCAAAAAATATTAACAAACTAAGTAGATTAAAATGTATTTATAAAAAAAAAAAATTTGACTCTTATTTAGAAAGTTCTTTTTGAAGATCTCTGAAAGAGGTCTACAACCTCATGTTGCCGTCAGAATGCACTAAAGAGGATGCTATGAAAATTAAAGCTATTTTTAAAAAAACTGAGCATCACAAACAAACATCTTCTCATCTTTTTAGGCTTCTGATATAAAATTAAATGCTAACTTAAACAAAAAACATAATTGTTTATTTATTTAAAATAGTTCTATCATTCATACTTTGTAAATTTGTTGTTACACATAATTATAGAAAATATATTATACATAAATGTAGGGAAATTTTTTATTTTATTCATTGATCTGGTTTTCATGACGCCAACGCGTATGGCATTTCTGCACCAAGAAAATGACACTGAAATAAAGAAAAATTTTCAATTATTTTCAAAATGTCTTATTTATTTCGAAATCAATGGGGATAATCTCTAAGAACGACCATCCTCCATTAACGACAATTTTTCTTTGGAACAGGGAGTGTTCACTCCTAAGAGGTTTCACTGCATAATTAATAAATAATAATTATAAATTTTGTAGAACTATTCCTAAGAAGAGTCTAATGCTCCAAATATTTATCTGCATCCCATGAGAAAAAGGATACGACTTGACCAAATAATTTTCAGTTGATTTGTGTATAAATAAATAGTAGAATTGATAAACAAATGTCAGTTAATAACTAAAAAATGTTTATTATGAAAGAATTAAGTTAATGTTTTATTATTAAACCAACTGATATTTCCTCGATGCTGCATTTTATCACTATGAATTTGATATTTCAGAAATTTAATATTTCCTGATTGATCAATCTGATCGATAGAACCTGCTTTTATTAACATACATTATTAAAGGAAAGAAAGATTAATATTTTTTTAGTTTGAATCTCTTCTTACACACAAATTTCTATTACAATTCCTTAATTTGAAAATGTTAAAGAAATTGCTTCATATTTTCATTTAGAAAACTAAGAAGTGGCAACTAATTTATTAAAAGTTATTTTTCCCTTTTTAATCTTTTTTTTTTTTAATGTAGTTTTTGTGTTGTGGAGTGTTCATTTCAGGATTACTTTAAATTAATTTTGCTTGTTTCCATTAAAAAATATTTGAAACTACTTTTTGGTTGAAATCTAATGTTAGTGAAATAGAATTGTTCTGTGTTCTAATCTTTAACTTTAACGATTAAAAAGCTTTTTTAGAAAGGTTAATAATCTTCATTGATGATTAGATGAATTAATTATATGTTAAGTTTCTTTGACTGCATAGGTTTTAAGTAAACTTTTTTTAACTAGAACATTTCCATGAGCACGCAAAACAGTGAATTCTTTTGTCTTAATTTTTTCTAATTTGCCTTTTTTTTTTTATAGAGGAGCCTATTACTCAACAGTTTTTAGCCCTGGCTTACGCATTATTTCTTTAAATATGAATTATTGTAACAGTTTAAACTGGTAAGTGTTCATGTTTTATTTTTTTATGTGTGTGAATTTTAAAAAACATATATTGATCTTCATTTGTAAAGAAAATCACATTATCATTTGTAAGGATAATCACCTAAAGAAGACGAGCATCTCCTGAACAATTAATGTTGTTGTTGTCTTATGCAACTTGTCAATACTAACAAACCTGTTTTAAGGCAGAGGGGTGCACATCTTGTTTTCCAGTGGTGCCATCTATGGCCAAGAATTAGACTTCTGCCACACACATACGTCATGCCTGATATTACAGGGAGGACATATTTACTCCCTATACATCCATCTGCAGATCGTAATTTTGACCTGAAATACTGAAGTAGTTATAACTTTAGGGGTGTTTACAGCAAGTGATTTCTCATACTTATTTAAAGCTTTAAGAGGTTAGTGGGACCAGTTAAAAATTATATACGAAGGGGAGTGTTTTTACACATCTTATGCCTAGAAATATAGCAATAAGTTTGTAATTTGTATCAATTACTTTGGTTATTCTATACAATAACAGCATGAAAATGTGTAAACTTAGCTTTAAGATTCATAAAGATATCGATTTTTAAAATAATAATTTTTTTGCCTTGCATTTTCTTACTATACAATCCTATTCTTTAAGGACTCCTTCCCTACTGTGCAAAAGTGTTAAAAATTACCCACTGAAAAAGTATTAAAAATTACCCACTGAAAAAGTATTAAAAATTATTTCATAAAAGTTTAATTAATTTTTGAAAACAGCTGTGAATAGTGAAGGGTTTTGCAGAATATCATTTTGTATTATGAAACAAAATTTAATAAAAAATGATATCCTACAATATTTGTCAGGACAATGAAATGTCATGGTAAAAGAAAAGAAAACTTGTTAAAATCACAATTTAATAGGGGATGGTCTCCCATTATGGCGGTGTAAATTTTAATAAATCTAATTTAATTAGTGTTAAAATCTACCCAAACTGCTGCAGCTGCCACAACACGCAAGCTTCTCCCCAACATATCCTGGACTGTCTTGGTCTGGACAAAAGGGTCATTCTGAATAACCCACTTTTGGTGGCCGACTTCTTCCGGGTCATGAATTTCATGGACATTGTTTAGCCCTACTAACTTTGGGGATAAGGAAGAAGAAGAATTAGTACAAAATGAAATTTTTGGAAATCCTTTTACCCTTCAAAACTTTCTTACAAAATTTAGAGAAACTATTTTAAAAAATTGCTCGAAATTTTTTAAATATTGAAGTCACTCAGATTGGACGCTTTTTTTTAATGAGTTACCAAATAGGATTCGCAACAAAATTATGAAGAAAAAATTTTAATAGTTATCTGCTTATGCTTAGTATAAAAGAAATGTTTTAAATGCTCAAATCTTGTGCATTTTTTTAAATGTTTTTTTAATGAAATAAAAATTGCCCCAAAAGTTTTGTTTCAATTTATTCAGTATTTTTACAGTTATAGCTAGAAGACATGAAGCCAAGAAATTAGTTTTTTTTTTATATAAAAATATCCATATTTTAATGAATATTACTTATTTTGTTTTGGTGCCAGCTGTTATAGAACTTAGGAGAAACTTAAGAGTTTCGTGTAGCTCTGTAAAAGTATCTGAAATGTGCATAATATTTGTCAAGTAAGCTTACTTTTGAGTTAAAAATAGATTTTTAAAACGATAAATTCACTGTTTACTAATAATGTTATGGACTTAAATTGATTATATCGCTAATTAATAACAATTTTGTAGTGTTTAACTATTCTGTTTGTTTTTTTTTCCTTTGTACTGAAGAAATCTTTCTTTTTGTAGGTGGTTGCTCATCAATTCAACAGATCCAACAGGGGAATTAGCTTGGCTTGTCACTCAACTCCAGTTGGCAGAAGACAGAGGGGAAAAAGTTAGTATTTATTAATTTATTTTTTTAAAGGCAGTTTTTATAGTAGGTCCTGACCTGCCGTCTCTCAGACTTTCATATTCAATCTCAAGACTTCTGCACTCCGAAATATTTTCTCGGGCTTTTTTCTAAGTGTATTTACATGAAGACTTTTTTTTTAATATTTTAACAGGTCTGTTAAACCATATTTAGACAATATAGACTCACACCATGTGCATATACTTTAGTGGTGATTCTCCACTTTTGCAAATACTTTTTTAAAAATATTTATTTTAATATAAAAAAAGTATCCACACACACAAAAAAAATTTGCAGTGGGAGGAAATGAAAGTACAGCAAGCAGAGAGCATAATCATGATGTATGCTAGGTAAAAGAAAGTCATTGTTTAGTTGCATGCATTCTGCTCCCAAAGAGAAAAAATATAACTGCCACTTTAGCCCGAAGATTAATGATCCCATCATTAGCAGTCAAGGATAATTTAAAATTGTATTTTTTACCAGACATTATTAGAAATAGTTTTTATACATATTTGTTAAGTTCTAAAACTTAAAAGTTATGTTCTGAAAGGTACATGGAATAGTGAAATTTGTAGAATTGAAACTAGAGTACTTTATACTGAACCGGGAGTTTTGTAATGCTGAATCTTTTCTTTTTTTAAAAAAATTATACACAGGTAAGTCAATTTCATCATTTTTCTTGTTTTTTTAATCTAAAATGAAGCATATTAATAGAGCATTTTTAATAGACTTTATTCTTTTATCGTCATTTTTTTCTTGCACAGTAAGAATAACTAGTAGCATAAGAAGCTGTTATTTTCAACATTAAAGGTTTCTCTTTTATTATTATATTTTTTTTTAACTTTTCTTTTCTATCTGTGTTTTTATTTGGTAGCATTTTTAAAGAGCATTTCTAATTAATGTTATTCTATCATGGTCACTTTTTTCTAAATACAGCAACAAAAAAAAAGTTGAATTAAGATTTTTAGCATTAAATCTTTTGTTTAAAAATTAAGAATGATTTCTGTTTGGTTTCTATCTAGCTTTTTCTTTTTCAGTGATCTAGTAAATGGTGACTGGTGCATGTTAAATCTGTCGGGTCACAAAGTTCTCCATGTTGCCATAACAAATTGTACTTTTATGGATATTGGATTGGAGATTGATAGTTCTCGGGTGCAGATCAAAATTAAGATCTGTGGGTGAATAAATGTATGCAGAAATATGTCTGTCCTATAAATAGGTGTAACGTGTGGGTGTGGCGCTTTTTTGCCTAAGTGGCCTATGAAAGCAACAACAAAAAAATGACTTTTGGCAACTTAAGCGAACACCAAGTAAAACTGTTTTATGTATTTTAATGTATTAAAATCGGTTACATATTTTGAATTTAATTATCTAAACTTTTTGATCTGTTGATATTTAAATCAAGACAAAATTTATATCAACTGAAGTAAATGAGAATAATTTCTAAAAAATGCTCGATTTGTTTCTGAATATGAGCAAATTTTAAAAAAAATTATTGCCCTCAAATATGCCTACTTAAATTCAGAGAACCTAAGTGATCTTTTCTTATGTCAAACTTGTTTTATAGCTGTTGTATTTGGCATGATGTAAAGGCTTTCAGTCGTGTGGCAAGAAACTTCAATTATCCAACTCTTTGGTTTTTCCTCTCTGACTAATTCTTTTTGTTAAGATGTTCTTGTCTTTTTTAGTTACTTATAGGAATGTTTAACTGCTACTGTTTTTTCTTTTCTTCTTTTGAAACTATAATAATCTAATTCTCTCTCTCTGTTTAGCACCTTAGTAAATAAAACATTTCTTTTTTCAATCTGTTATTAGCATGTTTTGTTTAATTATTATTGTTTTTGTACTCCAGAGACTACTTTGTATTTTAATTGTTTATTTATTTTTTTATTACATCATACTTTGGCTTAACTGTTTGTTCTATAGTTGAATTCTTTTGGCATATTTCATTTTCATTCAGAAATAACAATAGCTTACAGAAAAACAATAAATTATTTCAATTTACTTTTTAATATTGCTGTGAAAGGTGCCACTGCTCAAAACTATCTCTTTTTATATAAATAAAAGCCAGAATAATTTAATTCTCAAATATCTCAAAAGCACGATTTCTTTTTTCAATTTTGATAAAGTTTGTAACTACTAAAATAATTTGAACTGCATAATTTTTTTAAAGTGATCATTTTGAATTTGTAATAAGTGTATTTTATTGTTTGACCTTAACCCAATTTTAAAATATCTGTAAAAAGCTTTTTTTACTCATATTTAATAATTATTTATTTAGGTGCATATTATTGGGCATATTCCTCCTGGAGAACCAGATTGTATGGGTGTATGGAGTAGTAATTATTACAGAATAATCAACAGGTTAGTATGATTTATATATTTAATTTAAATCCGGTTCTTAAAACATGATTTGATTTCAATGCAGAATATTATTGTACACCAATATTTTTAAAATATATGTGTATATACACTGAAGAGCCATTACATTATGACCAGCCTGCTAATAACTTGTAGGACCACCTTTAACCCTCAAAACTGCTAGCACCTGAAGTGGCATTGATTCCACAAGGGGCTGATAGGTTGTCTGAGGTATCTGGTACCAAGCGCTCACCAACTGGTCCTGCAATTCCCTCACATTGCGAGGGGGTAGCGTGGCAGCACGAATTTGGTGTTCTAAGTAGGACCACAAATGCTCTATTGGATTAAAGTCAGGTGAATGTGGGGACCAAGTCATGACTTGAAAGTCACTGGAATGTTCCTTGAACCAATCCATGACGATTCGACCTTTATGACATGGTGCATTATCATGTTGGTAAACACCATCCCCCGCAGGAAAAACTGTTGCCATGAATAGGTGACCCTGGTCTGCAACTATGTTCAAGTAGCTTACAGGCGTCAGCGATTGTTCTATGAGGTTTATGGGTTCTAATGTGCCCCATGGAAACATTATTCCTGGGAGAGAAACCATAAAAACCTGGGCGAGTCCATTGTTATAGATGGAGGGTGGTCATAATGTAATGGCTTTTCGGTGTATAATGAAATATGGTAATTTTTATTTAATTTGATTAATAAGATGTCAATATATTTTATCATTTTCTTTTTTCCTTATAATCAGATATGAAATATATTTCATTTTTTAATTATTTATTTTGTTTTAAAATGGTTTATTTGATGATTTTAATAAATTTTTAGTTTAGTATGATTTGGCTTAACTTAAATAATTTTTCTTAAATTTTTTAAAATCTTATTTAGTGTTTTAGCATTGCACTCTATATTTTTCTATCTATTTATCCATCTTATTTATGACTCATTATTTTAAATAAAAAATCTTAACATATTGCATTTTAGTTTTTTTTTTTTTTTAATGTTCCTCAGTTGATTTAAATATTAATTAATTTCAATTAAATACAGACTATTTGCATAATATTTTTATTAATGTATTATTTTTTTAGGATAACTTGGTAGAAAAGTTTTTTTAATTTATGAATTAAGTTCTCTTTATTTTTTGTTACCTTGCAGCTTTGTTTCATATTTTTGGATTATTCTATAGCTAAGATCGTGTTTTTATCCTTTATTTTATTTTGTCCATTGATAAAAAGCATTATTTTTTAGTTATTCTATTTTATTTATATAATATGCATTAATTTTAATTAAACACGGATTGTTTATATATTTGTTAGCTTTTTTTATATGTTATAATATGTTTTTATAAATGTTTTAAGTTTAAAATATGTATTTTTAATAATTTTCTTTTTAAACTAGTATCAATTAAGTTTTGCAATCTTATTGGTTCTTATCTTTTTTCTAATTTTTCCTATGGATGCTAATTTATTTGTTTTAATTGTTTATTGCTTTTAATATTTAAAAATGTTCTTATTTTGATGAAATGCTATTTAATATATATATATATGTGTGTGTGTGTTGGTTTTTTAAATTTTATGAATATAATTAGAATTGTGATTTTATTAAAAATAAAGATAAAATTATATTGCTGTGTTAAAAATTGTCTAACAGTAACTGTGATGCATTATTCAAAAATTTGAAAATAGAGATTATTGAAATTACTGAAAATTTTTTTTATTAACTACTGAAAAAGGAGAAAATAAACAAATCAAAGAAGAAATTTCATAAATTTAAAAAAAAAAAGTTATGAAAAGGCATTTTTTTTTTTTAAATAACAGCTTTTTTTTGTCCCATATTTGAACAATTTCTTCTTAATATTGCGTAAACTTTAAAAATAAGTAAATAAACTACCTGCAGTTTAAATAAATTAAATGCCTGCAGTTTTAAAATAATATGTTGTTTAAAATATTGTGTATTTAAACTAGAAATTGTCAAAACTTTCCCTACCATTTTTTTTTTCCAAAAAAAAAAATTTTTTATAATAAATTAATAAATAATAATAATACTAATAATTCATATTCACTACCTACTTAAAGGATTTTAATCTTGAAATCTTGTTAGTGCATGTAACTTATTGTTTGATATTACTTTAGAAAATAAGATAAATCTGTAAAATAAATAGCTTTACAAAATTTGAAATGCTCATAAACAGGTATGAAAGTACTGTGACTGCACAATTCTTTGGGCATACACATCAAGATGAGTTTGAAATATTTTATGATAAGTCTGGTCCTACTCCAAGGCCATCTAACATCGTGTACATCGGGCCAAGTGTCACAACTTATGATGGTGTAAATCCTGGATACCGCATCTACACTGTTGATGGAAATTACCCAAAGAGTTCCAGAGTAAGTGCAAATATGCACTGTAATTATTTAGTGCAATTAAAGGATTTTTTTTAATGAATTTTAAAATATTGCCTTAAGTTATGCAGAAGAATTAGGTATTAGAAAATTAGTTTGTCTAAATGTCAACTATGTTAAAAGGTTTTAAAAAGCTCTTACTATGCATGATATAAGATTAATATGCACGATAATTTAGTGCAATTATTTTTTTAAAGAATTTTAAAATCTTAAGTTACACCGGAGAATTGGGTATTAGAGAATTAGCTTGTCTAAATGTCAATTAGGTTGAAATGTGTTTAAAAGCTCTTATTTTTTCATTTGAGTGCAGAGATGGCGTAATTTAAATCATGATCAAAATTTCTGATTTAAATCAACTATAATTTTAAAATAATATGCAATAAAATTAAAAAACATATTCTTTATGGCATGTTAATTATTCGATATCATTGATAACGAATGTTTAATTCCTAAAAAATTATGGAAGGAGGATGTATATCATTTATTAAATTTTAATAGTGGTGATGAAATTTTTAAATTATACTTTTCCATTTTCTGAATGTAAAGTACTTTTACAACTTTACATACAAACAACGACTAAAGAGTACTTTAACAACTTATTAAGAATGTAGTTAGTTTATATTAATAATGAAGAAAGACTTCTACTCAGAATATAAAATCTTAAAATGAATCTTTTTTTTTTTCAATAATGTTTTCGGATCTAAACCAATTTACCTCTTATTGAATATCCTAATTGACAAATAGCCTCCCCGTCAGGGCTCGAAAAAATTCAGAAATTTTACGCGTCCCCAAGGACGGCTTATCCAACAATGTACCCGTCCTCCCTTGAAACTAACCCGTAGCTTCTAAATAAATAAACATATAATTTTCTCTTATTTGTTACAAACATTTATATAAATTGTACAATGTATTAGTAGTTACTAGGATTACAAATAGGATTGCATTATACAGTAATAAAAAGAATACTAGGTTACCAATAGGAACCTAGTATTTCTTTTATAAAATAAAATCTTTCTTTTATGAAACAATTTATTTCTTTTATGAAATAATTTAAATGACAATTGTCAAGTTATCTGGAATGTCAATTTATCCGAGGATACTGCGTTTTTTAAATGAATCAAATATGACGTTTGCCAGTTCCAACAATCAAGCCAATGATTTACAGAGGTTTCTGCACAGAAATCTGAAAGGGGTTTTCCATTTTGGTAGATGTTCGTAATTGCGTTACGTAATGGTACGTAACGCAATTACGTACCATTACGTTGTTGCAGTACGTAATGGTTTTTTTTTTTTTTTTTTTTCATTTTTTTTTTTTTTTTTTTTTTTTTTTTTTTTTTTTTTTTTTTTTTTTTTTTTTTTTTTTTTTTTTTTTTTTTTTTTTTTTTTTTTNGAAGGTCATTTTAGAAGTGAGGTGTTAGACTCTTGTAAGATAACAAAAATTGAAAATGTATCACCAACATTAACGGGAAAATGGCCGTCCGCGCGGACGTCGGATTCGAGAAAATCATTGTCCGCGGGGAATTTTTGACCGCCGAGGACGGGTGGTTTTTCGAGCCCTGCTCCCCGTCTTAAAAATTCATAAGGTTGTTGAGCTTCAACAGAAATAACTATGTGTTTTACACAGTGTTTAATGTTGCGATAATGAAATGATAATTTAAACCACTTTGGTGATCTTGGTTGCCCATTTGTTAGAGTTACGTTCCTGGGAAGCCATGGTTCGATCCTTCAAAGACACATGGTATATACGTGATAGTTCGCAAGGCCAATGGCTGTCTATAATTTGTCTAAAGTAAGAACTCACCATGCCATTTGTTTGGACCCATGGCAATGATTATGGTAATGAGGTATAACTATTTCAAGTTAGGGTGGGCAGACACTGTTTAGGATAGGTTTTGGCATAGGTTGGCGAGAGAAAGGGAATCTTTTTGTTCTGTCTATTGTTTTAGCCCTAGAATGAAGAGAAGCTGCCCTCCCTGAAATGCACTCTTCTTGTTTCAATAGCAGCAGACTGCCTCAGACTTTGTGGTGAGGGGAGTTCTTACTGTAGACAAACTATAGCTTGGCTTGTTTAAGTGTCATTGTAAATAACAACCACTTTAATAAGAAATATTAATGATTTTAGCTGTATTGTTTTGAATTAATAGTAAAATATTTTATCAAATGCTTTGGTAGGTAAATATGGAAGAAATTTTTTTTAATTAATTTAAAATGACAAAAAAATCTTTTTTTTCTTTCTTTTTTTCTGTTCATATAGTTTTATAGAGTCATGATTTTTGATATCAGAGTATGAGCTTTGGATGAGATAGTGAAAGTTGTTCAAACAGTGTTAATGTGTCTTTCATAATTAAAATAGATTTTTTTTTTTATGTTTTATCCATTTTATTGTATATTATGAGATTATTTTTTATTTTATATTTATTTTTGATTTTTTTTTCTCTTTAAATGATTAGGTTGTGTTAGACCATGAAACATATATCACAAATTTAACTGAAGCCAATTTGAGTAAAACAATGACATGGAAATTTGAATATAGTGCAAAGAAAGCTTATAATATGAAGTCTTTATTGCCTAAAGATTGGGATAATTTAGTGAATAGATTTCAAGAGGATGATATTTTGTTTAAAAAATTCTACTTGTAAGTATTTTTTAAATCATATTTCACCTTTCTCATAAATGCTAGTTTCTTACTAATTGTTCCATTTAATTAATAAATAAAAGAACTATTTTGTAGAAAGAAAAAAATAAATTTTGAAATTAGTTTTTTTTTTAATTGATCATTCAAGTGAGAGACATGTTTAGATTCTTGGTAAGGAATAAATATCTTTCTCGCACAATATGCTGAAAAAAAATTATGCAATCTCCATTAGTTTTGTAGCTGAATTGATTTAGTAAGATTTACACAAGAAGCATAAATATTTGTAAATATATAAATTTGTTAAAATTTTCTTTTTTTATGTAAGTGACTTGGATAGTCTGAATAATCATAATAGTTTAGTAGTACTACAAAATATTAGCTTTTATTTTAACTTTCGGCTTTTTGTATGCCATCACACTGCAATACTTTGGTGCTTTTAATAAATGATTTATTTGTTTGTTATTATTAGACAAAGAATCTAAAGATGAATCTCTGCTTTGTGCATTATCAGTTCTGTTTTGATTTGAATCCTTGCTCATTTTTCTGTGTTTCATTTCTTAAACCAGCCAATTCAATTTTTAAAAAACTCAAGCTGTATCTATATAATTTACTGTCTTTACTGCGATATTTAATTTGCTTCTATTTTTAGCTACTTCTAAAACTTTTAAAAGTCATTCTTCTTATGGAATAGTGAGAAAAAATTTTAATTCTAAGTTTGAACCATTGGTGCAGAAGAATGAGCCAGGTATTTAGTAATGATGTAGGTTAAAAATTCTTACCCGAACCACTAAAATTTGATTTGGACCATCACGAAATTATTATAAGTTTCCCCCTGGAACTTTATAGGGCATACCTGCCAAGTCTCCTGTTTTTTAATGAAGATTCCTGCATTTTACATCTATCTCCTGTATATCCGTATATTCTAAAATTTCCCTGTATTTGTTAAAGAATTTTTTTAAAAAATAAGATTTTGGCGATAAAATATCCGCTAATGGCAAAAATACTTCTTACTCCTCAACAGATAGTGCTATTTCCATTACTGTAGTATGTTGAAAGTTAATAGTTTATATCGAGCTGTGATGGCTCAGGGGATAAAGTGTTTGCCTTCTAATAAGGTGAACTGGGTTCGAATCCCAACAATGGCTAGTCTATTCCAACAATGAATTCCGTACTCGGCTAGAACAACCATAGTGCTGACGTAAAATATCCTCAGTGGTAGACGGATCTTGGGTTAGTTCCCTTGCCTTCAGGCTAACCGTGGGAGATTTTGTGGTTTTTCACCACACGTAACGCAAATGCTTGTTAGTTCCATCAAAATATCCTCGCAAAGACAAATTTCTCCCAATAATTGATCCAGCAATTCCCTTCTCTTCTGGATTGGGGTCAAAATTACAAGGCTTTGGAGTTGAACATTAGTAGTCATAAACCCAAAATCGGGTCGGCTGTTCAAGCTATGGTTAGAAAATAAAATAGTTTAAATAATTATAAATAATGGTTTAATAATTTTTCTTTAGATTAAGATTTATAAAAAGAATAATTTCGCTAAATGTAAGTGCTTATATTATTTCAATTTTAAATTGCATGATTATGCATGATAAATCAAAATTTTACATCTTAGCATAAAAAATGTCTAGTAAAATCTATGTTATTTTATTTCTCCAATGTTGACAGGTATGAAAGGGATGGTATGCAGTTTTGGTTTCTTTTTTTCTTTTCTTTTTTCTTTTTTTTTTCATTTTTTATTTCCTTTCTGATCTGTGTTGTCACAAAATAGAATATTCCATCATAATTGTGAACATAACATGTTTTATATACTGTAGCTTTTCATTTCAATTCACTTAACAAAAAAACTAATAGAGACATCAGAAGGACTGGTGAAAATGTGCATGAACTAGTAATATCTTATAGTCAGTGTTCTATGGACCAGTGATTAAATTTTCTTAATTTTTACTCCTGATAAAAACTAATTAGTGTGGGTATTTTGTTTACTTTTGAGTATTACCTTAATGTAAAGAAAGGAGGAAAGATTATTTTTGTCATGCAAAAAAAAATTTCATGTAATGAACACATACAGCTGGTTTAATACTATAATAAAACCTACTTTTACTTTTTGTTTATTACATTTTCTGTGTTCTTTATTATCTTAATTACTGTATTTTTTTAAATTTAGCTTAGTAAATTTGTTTGATGTAACTCACTAAATATTTTCTTCTCTAAATTTAGATATTATAGAAAAATGACTGATTTTGCTGTGCCACAGTGTGATCAAGCTTGCAAACATAATTTTTTCTGCAGATTCCGAAGAGGACAATCTAATGACCCACTTTTCTGTGTTTAAACTGAATCCTCATTTTTAAGGGGCTGCTATAATTATAAATATATGTAGTATAAATTTTGTAAATATTTTTTAATTAGATATTTTAATGTTTAATTTGCATTATTTATGCCTTGTTAATATTTTAAAATTTATGAGACCAAAGATTAAAATTGTTCATACTTTATCAGAAGTTTTAAACTTATATTTTTTTGTTAGAATGTTTTATGATTGTAAAATAATTTTTTCTTCACTATTAAGAAGTACGAAAAATTGGACTTATATTTTGTTTTGTAATGACAACGATTTGTTTCACAGTAGAAATGAATTGCATATGTGTAAATAAAATATTAATGCATTGTTAATTTTCAAATTTATCATGCTGAAATAAAATTGCATTTTTATTTTAAAAATTGGAATATTCTTTAAAACTGCATATGTATTTTATTATAGAATATGATCATTTCTTTTAAATCTTTTGAGGGGGACTTTTTGTTAAAAAATATTTTACAGGGTTTGTACATGCCGGAAATTGTCCAGGAAAACTAGATTCTATGAAAAACTTAATTTTATGCCAAAACCCAGAATCGTCAGGGAATTTGTCACCCTATCGAATCGTGGGATTTTACAGTTCAGTATCGAATTGTGAGGTTAATCAGATTTTTAATGGATTAACCGTCATTTATTGTATCCACATGATTCTATTATGGTTCTAGGGAAAGTCCTGACCCACAATAGTCATGCCAATAAAAGATTTAACTTTAAATAAGGATCATTTATATACTTGTTAATTTTTTTTGAAGATGATTTGGCATTGAAAAATCTGCTTATTTTAAATTTTCATTTTGAATAAGAATCTTTTAATTAGGATTTTTGGTACTTATTTTTTCCTTAATGAATTTTTTAATTAATGCTACTTTATTGCATTACAATTCTGTATTGCATTTTTGTTTTCAAAAATGTTCTTTCATTGATTAAATATGATTTAATTTCAATTATGCACAGATTATTGATATATTTTTATTCATGACTTTTTTGCAACAACTTCATATTTATAATTTTTTTTCTTAATATTGCCTAGTAAATTCTCTTAATCTTATTTCACATTTCAGTCACAGATTTAGTTCGGACAATTTTTTTATTTCAAATCCAGGGTTAGCATAATTTAAATCATTTGATTTTTTTTCATCACTGGTTCTGCAACTTAAGCAGTTGATCATGATTAACAACCTTTTGCTCTCTAAAAAGAAATAGTCAAAGATTACATAATATAAGTTCATATATCTTATGGTAGTTTGTATTTAATGTAATGTTGAGGTGGTGCACACAAAAAATTTTCCATTTTTATACCATATCGAGTAGGTATATTTTCTTTATAGTGAAATATGATAGTCAATATGGAATATTTCAATGAACAGGGCGTTATGGAGGTTAAGACTCCATTATTTCATGACCAACAGTATAATTGTTGCAATGTGATTAGCGTTGCCTTTATTTCCTAAACAAGTTAGTATCTGAGATAAATATATCCTAATATACTCTACCCTACGATAATGGAAGAGGCACTTTAACATGTGTTTAGCATTTTTTAAAAGCTCTTTAAGGTGCTTTTTTTATTTGGAGTTTGTAAAAAGTGCTTAATTTTCTATCTTTTGAAAAGAGATTTTTTCTTTGCCTTGTCGATTGTTGTTGTAAATTACAAAAAATTCGTGATTTTTCACAATTTTCTCTGCAATATTTATCAGAAACTAGTTATTTTATCATGATTATGTTAAGTTTTTGAATTTTATTGATTTTATGTTTATAAACTAAGAACTTTAAACAATATAAAAAATAATCTTTATTAATGCACACATCCTAATTATGATTGTTTTTTTTTTTTTTGAAAAGTGATGAAAAATATTTTTTAGAGTGTTTGAAAAGTACTTAAAATGTGCTAATTTTTTGTTGAAGAATCTGGCTACACACCCTGCTTAAGTTTTTGACATTTTTAAAGTTCTCAAGAAATATTTAAAGGATTAATTGTGTAACTTTAGTGATGTTTAGTTTACGCGATTTTTCATACTTAGCGATAAGAGTTACAGCTTTCAGAGGTTTGGAAGGCCTACGATAAGTTACAAAAGAAAACAAGTATTTTTGAACACCCCATGTCAGAAAATTAAGCAATAAGCTTGTAACTTGGATTGATTACTTTAGTTGTTATTTTTAATAACTGCATAAAGTTTCGTAAACCTAAAGTTAATATTTATGGAGTTTTGGACATGTTTGTAAAAAATAAATTTTTTCGCCTTGCATATTTCCATAGATGTTCAATAGGATTAAACAAAATTTTTGAAACAATTTTAATTTAATTATGAAATTGTCAATTTACAATTTTAAAAAAATTCACTCAAAACTGAACAAATTATGAGTATTTAAGCTATTAAGAAAAGAATTCAAAATATTAATGCAAACAATTAATAAAAAAATTAATTCAAGGCTGGTAGGTCAGCATTGATTGTCATATTTTTTCAATTTTTACTAATATTTCTTCGTCTTATGAGTATTTAAGCTAGTTCTTTTATACAGTGCATGCACTAAAAATATTTTTAAGAAGTTTTTTATAATTTTGTAGGGAATCTTTTTTGGTAACTAATGAAAAAAAAATTTATTGAAGTGTTTTAAAAAGTTTCAACCAATTTTTTAAGTAGTTTTTGTACTTTTCAAAAGCAAATTCAAATTAATCAGGAGAGGTTTTTGCAAATTTTATTTTGTATCATACGACAAAATTTAATCGCAAATGATAATATATTAAAATAATCGTCCGTAAACTAAACTTTGATGGTATGGAGAAAGAAAACATACTTTTATGAGGGGGGTATCCCCACAATGCCGGTCTCATTTTTAATACTTATGTGATGGTACAAGAGAAAATTTGCGGCTAACCCCTTATTGTTTTGAGTTTCTTTTAAAAAATTAATTTCTTAAGGAATTTTTTAAAATAATAAATCAAAATTTAATCTTAAATTTCTCCGAAAACTTTGTTTAATTCCATTGATTATTTATGAAGTTAAAGCAAAAAATTAATTTTGTAAAAGTGTCCGTATATCCATAAATATTTACTCTAGGTTTACGAAACTTTATGTAGTTATTAAAAATAACTAAAGTAATCGATACAAGTTTTTTTTACCCTTGATTTTCTGGCATATGGTGTTCAAAAATGCTTGTTTTCCTTTGTAGTTTATTGTAGTTCTCCCAAAAGCTTTAAATCTTATTACTAAATATGAAAATTAAGTTATAAAATAATCCTTTAAATATTTCTTGAGAAATTAAAAAAAAAGGTCAAAAACTGAGTGTCTTTTCCAGCATTGTAGAGTAGTGTATCTAGATCCATGAGTGGGCTTCAAGCCATCACCTGAGATTGTACCTCATCTTTCAAATAAGATTATTTAAAATAACCGGTTATAATTTGTTACGTATTCAGAACAGTACTTACAAATGTATACTGTTCTGAAAAAGAATCAGAAAATACCTGCTATGCATTTTGATTCGTGCTGCACTATGCATAATAAATTGGCTGAGGAAATAACATTTTACTTTCATAAAGACATATCATTTGCTGTCTGACATTAATAGGATGTTAAATCACAAGATCTCCATTTCGCTCCTCAAGGGATTTACCTTCAGTAGGTAAATACGGGATCCACGACCCCGAGGTGCCCTAGTGATCTCTTCGTTTTATATTTCGCCACGTTGCACCAGCCTGCTGCAGGTTAAAGTGTGCTGTTTGTCAAAAAACTCTAAATGTACAGCTGTAAATAAAAAAAAAATTGCATACACTATTGTAAATGCGTTCTATCACCAAAATCAAACACCTCCAACCAAAATACCAATTCAAAATACCAAATCAAACACCTCCAACCAAAACAAATCTTGACAGCATACTTTTTCCAGAAGCTAAAGGCGTACAACACACAAATGGGAAAATCTAGAAAATAACAAGCTGACCTAATATCCAACATGGGAGTCATCCAAAAACCATGCTTAGATCTTATGGTGATGAAGGGGGGAAAGTTAACATAACAGACCTGGCACTGATTTAAAAAATCTCTAACCCAAAAATTTAGTTTTAAGACCCAAATCTATTGAAAAAGAAGAAAATGCGCGAAACGGTAATAATCTCCATAACTAAAACTCCTCCCAAAAAATCGAAGTTCTTTACCCTCAAAGCAGAAATACCTGCTTCCGTAATGATTTTATTTCCTGGTACAGCTGGGAGAGAGAAATATCCACCCCTGATGAAGAAGGAGAGAGAAAGGTGTGTTGAGAATCCCGCAGGGTTGTTTTATTCTTGGATGAATGGGCTGTGAGGATTCGAGATCGCTCAAGTCTGCAACTTCGGCAGTTGTTGACCAAACGGGAAATGGAAGCCAGAATTGTTTGGACGGGGAGAGGCATCGCTTGGTTAAATAATTCGAAGAGCAAGTTCGTCTTCGATCTTGTGATTCTCCGCTCTGCGTTTCATATCCTTCAAGAGCTCGGTTGGTTTTCTATCCACGAGATAACGGCCAGTAGTCGTCGGATCTCCTCTGTTTTTGATTCTCCACAGCGTTCGATGATTTTGGATTTCAAATCCATGTGGGGATCGGTGACGTCCGGTTGCATAATCACGTCTCGCACGATCGTCGCCGTATCCGGTGGCAAATGAGCGACGATGTAATTATATTTTGTCATCGCTTCTGTGATTGCCTTAGGAGCTGCTAACGGGGACGTTGATTCCAGCATAAAGAACCAAGTGCGGGGTCAGTTCGGATGGAAGCAGGGATGACTACGGCGGCGGCGTCAGCCATTGTTCTGGATCAGAAGTTTTATTATTTCATAGTCCGATCACCAATATATAGGCTTGAAGGGTCAATTGTTTGCCTCTAATCAAATAACTTATTCTTATGACTCCAATATGTGGAAAGAACAAGGACGACGATTGTAAAAAATTAATATAATTTTATTAAAACTTAAAAGCAACTTTGTGTGACTGATAGCTGACGGGATACTATCTGGAATGAATAAAAAATCTTTAATCCCGACCTCTCAGGCTTGGCTGAAGAGGCACAATTTAGGGGTTTAAGACAAAAATAGATTTTCCAGATGGTTTCTCAATTAAATCGCTATACCCTTATCCCTGAAATTACGGGGGTATATTAAAGTCTATGTCTGGCACACAAATTTGTTGACATCTTTTGTTCGGATTTTGGAAGTGGAATCTAATTTCAATAATATGTGCGTGCAGCAATCCTCGGTTTTAATTTTCAATAACCTAGATGTATGATAAAATAATACTTCAAAGTGTCTAAAAGTTCTTATTTTGAATACTCCTACAATATCAGGT